AAAAAAAAAAAAAAAAAAAAGGATGATTGTCCTGGATAATCTAGTTGGTCTCACTTAATCAATTAGAAGGCCTTAAAAAGCAAGACTGAGTTTTGAGAGAAATTCTACCTGTGGACAATAGCATCAGCCAATGCCCATGGAGTCCAATCATGCTTCTGAACTTTCCTTCCTCATGGCCTGCTCAATGTAAATTTTGACTTTGATTTTGGACTTGCTTAGACCCCACAATCACATAAGCCAAATCCTTATATAAAATTTCTTAATGTATATACCTCCCACTAATTCTGCTTCTCTGACTAAATCCTCAATACAATGATAATAGGACTACACAATTGTTTTGCTTTATAAAGGAATTACTAACAACACAAAAAAATTGTGAATTAAACAATTCTTATTAGAGGAAACACGACTGTTTAGAACCACTTTGGGTGTAGCTCACCATAGGACTCAATTTTGACTACTGGTATTTAAATAGTACTAATTTTATAACTCTAAGAACCTGATGTCTTCAATTGCCATGCAGTATGCATTCTTACTGAATGTTTAAAATGTGTAGCCTTTGTACTCTTTAATAGAAAAATGTTTCTTTTGAACAACCTGAAAAACAACTGGACTTCATCTATCACATTTCAAGTTTGTCCAGTAAGTTTTTAAAGGAATGCAATTTGTTATTTACAAATTACTTTTCTTGGGGAGCTCACCAAGCTAAATTCTGTATGTAATGAAAAGATCTGTGTTTACAGTAACACATGAGTAAAACAGGTTTCTATATATAAGTATTTTCATATTGAATCTTATTAATTCTTATCTCTTGAGAGATGCCAAAAAACAATGTCCACAAATCTATTTGGCTCAATGGTTAAGAAAAGAAATACCACTGGACTGAGTTTAGGACATGTGGCTTCTAATATCAGCTGTCCCACAAATTATGAGGAATATACTTAACTTTTCTAATTCCTTATTCAACACCTAATAAAAGTTATTAAATGCCTACCAGAAACCAAGTTAGACACCAGAGCTGTAACAATGAACATGATAAAGACAGTCCATGCCTTCACAGGCTTGAAGTCTGGAAAGGTGAGTACTTTTGGCTAACTTACCTTCAAATCCTCTGTTTCAGTTAGCATCCTATGATTTGAATGGGATCATTCAATTGGCCCTGAGGCCAATACAATAATGATTCCAAATGACCTCAAAAAAGCTGTAAAGAATTAAATATTTCCCACATGAACACTGGTAAAATAACTTTTTAAACCAGATGCAGGTTTATATATTTATTCAGGTGATTCAAATATCAGTGAAGCATTTTAGCATTATGAAATCCAATGTTTGAAATCTTTTTTTCCCTGCAATTTTATTTATTATAGTTTTGTAATCTTGAAGAGACTCTCTTATCTTAAGTTTTTTATGCATTCAGGTATTTTGCATGATGTCTGATGTGATCAGTAATAAAGGTTGCAATGAAGTAGTAGCTATGATCATAACCCTAGAAGACAAAATAGAGATGGTAAGACATTTATCCACTCAGAAAAATAAATGTTAGGAACATTAAATATATTTCTCAAGCCACTTAATTTGCTTGTAAACAGTCAAAATATTACAGTATGAGGAAGGTTTATAATCAAAATCAAGTTTACTATATTTTCACTTTAACATTTCTACTCAACATTAAAAGAGCAAAAATGTGAAGAAAAATGAAACATTCTGCACAGCCTAGTTTCCAGATGCTGCCATTAATATGCCATAATATACATGTCTTCTGACTACAAGAAGTAGCATTAAGAGGAAAAAGAAAAAAAACTGAAGTGGGAAGAACCTAAGGATATTAAACACCAGATAATCTGGGGACAGCCCCTCTCCCAAAACATGATTAAGCTACGAGGTGGAATAAACTGAAAGAGGTAAAGTTTAAGAAAGATTTTTATGTTTTTATCTTAATTTAGTGAATGGTCTCCAGTGGAAGAAAATGGGAATTTTTCTAAGAACTTAAGAAACAAGAGACCTAATAAAAATATCACCTGGGTTTCAGGGAATAGGGCAAATCCCTAAGGTCTTATAAATCAGTACATGTTCTTAATCTCCTACAAAAGCAGTATGTAATATATATATCTTGGGAACAGCAGTTTATAGAATTCTAGCTTAAAGTCATCAAAGTAGCTTAAAAACAATCTGTCTTGGCCAAACCAGAAAACTGAATCTGAGAGGAATGTTGTCAAAATTAAGGCTGAGCCCTGGAATTATTTGGTTTCACATCTCTCAATGATTAGACCAGCCCCAGTTAATTAAATTTTGAGCTAAAGGACAGTTTCTGACAATGAAACCTGAAGAAAAGCACTTTCCACCCATATAATTTTTGACTTGTTAAGAAGTTAAACAGGCTCATGATTTTCAGGCCACAAGGCCTATGAAATTACCAATTAGTACTTGCCATTTTTCACAAATGAAAAGACAGATCTGATTGAAAATCACCATAGGTAAGAAAATCGATGTCTCAAAATGTGTTTAACAAAACACTAATGTGACTGAGTGTGCTATATTTTTATGCTTAGTTTCATATACATTCAACACCTTGCATAGTTTCAGGCATAGTAGATAGTCCCATTATTATTACAGTTATTATTTATTGTCATTATTTATTACTATTATTTTATTAGAGAAGTACCAGGGTAAATCAAAGTGACAATTTTGACCTCTCAGGGGTGTATTGCAATATAAGAGTGTATTTCATCTAAATACAAAGTAAATGTCCTTAACTTCCACAATGATATTTAACAGAAGATCCACCTTTCTGAGAAAATAGAACATGCCTATCATGAAAGACCCAGAAAGATTTTTTTAAATGTCAACATTAAGGAAAGAGAACACATTTCAACTATTGGCATGCTGGTAGATAGAAGATGCTTATATAATTACAGCTAACTGTGTTATTTTTGACTAGTTTTTAAATTCTACTTACCAAGGCTATTAAATGGGGATGGCTCCTGTCATTAAATTTTTTGAGTTGGTTTGTATGTTAAGCAGCTTGTGCAATTACATAGTGACACTTAATGGGCCTTACTTTCCTGTTCTACTTCCCATTTTAAGTGGAAAAATCCTCACTAGCAGAATTCTGACTCTTAAGAGTATAAAAATTAATGAACATATTCTTTCACTCTGCACTCAATTCTCAAAAAAGCAGCAGTGCTCCAGCAGCTATGAGGAACATGTATTCTAATAGGCAGTATCTTCCGACATATTTTCCAGACCCAATTAGAAAAGCTCAGTTATGAATCCCTGGGTTATTAAGTCTCTTCATGAGTACAAAGACTGTTAAAATGCATTATTTTGTTTACTTACTAAGCAAGCACTCCTTGAGAGTTTATGTGCTTGGTAACTGAGCTAAACATGAGGACACAGAGATGAGCAAGAGACCCCTGCATTCCTAGAATTTTGTGCAGTTCTTACCCTTCTCTAACAAGGACGTGCAGAGGCCAATCTCTGAATCTTCAAAAAGGGCCTGAGATCTGAGGAAGTGGTATAGCCTTGCTTTGATATTGTTTCTGGAAGTTTCCATTAGGTCACTGGAATTTCTCTTATTACATCACTTCAATAACTGAAAATAAGACATATGAGGCCTTTCCTCTTCAGACTAAGATTTGCTCTCTGTATACGAGCTATTAGAGTCTGCTAACTTAGTGCTTTTCCAATTTAGATTTGATGAAGCCAAAACAGAAAAATTACATATGATAACATCTACATAAATATACCTATGTAATACTCTTCTTTCTCCATCTTTTTTCTGATAGTTTTCATTTTGAAGCATTTGCTCCTATGCTTAATAAATGTAGACTGTGAGCATTTAACAACATGAAAAAAAGGTAAAGGAATGAAGTTGGGTCAACCACGTACATGATTATAATAATTTTCTTTCTCCCACCTTAGATCACTTATTTATATACTATTATTTTTTGCTTATTTTCCTCTTCTCAGTCCCATTTCATAAAGAAACACAGCTGTACTATACTCATAATCAAATGATAAAGCAGATGATAAGATTCTCAGACCTCAGGTAATGTGAAGTTAATGGAAGCTGGCTTGCAAAACCTGAAAGGAGCCTCACTGGAGCCACTGCCTAGGCATGTACATTCGGCTGCTCATTCAGTTACAACCAACTAAATACAATCCGCTTCAGACTGTGTAGCTCACTCTTAACCAGTGAAGACCGTGGCTGGTGACTTCCATACTTCCTCACTCTTTTTAGGAGAACTGAATGCTTTGTCTTGACTTCTCATTAAGTATAGCCAACTAGCCTTTTTAGTTGCTTGGGATATAAGCATTTTAGAAGTAAACAAGTTGATTTATTTTTTCCCTCCAAGAATTTTATCAGTGTTCTAACTATGCTGTTTTTATAACAAACTCTAGAGATTGTTTCAGTCTTTGTTGGCAGGCTGAAACTTTATTGTTGGTAGTAACAATACAAATCCCTGTCACAGCCTCAGGGGAAGAGGGGTCCAAGACTGCTAATACTAAGAAGTCATTTGGAAAAAACACATCGCTTGTTATGTCACATATACCTACAGTTAACACTTACACAAACTACTATATTTATAGTCGAATTGGTATTTGGATTTCCTCAGATAAATGACCAAATTAATCTAAACAAATTGTATTAGTTAAGGATAGACACTCAGAGACAACAAGGTATATCTAAATGTATTGGCTTTTGACACATTCTCCCACATGATACATATATTACTTATGTGTTCAAAATACTAGGAAAAACAAAAAGACACTAAGATCTGATGCACAGGTAGGACAGGAAGCAGGCTATGTAGTTTGTCCTTGTGAGGTCCCTAAATCCATCCCTTCACTCCTCAGGGGCAGTGTTTCACCTTGCCTGGGAATTTGGTCTTACATACCATTAACTTAAAAGGAGGGCTTTTACTTTAAATGTCTTATTCTAATTTTAAAAATACCTTAGTGGAGGAGGATTTTCAAACTCTAAAATAAAACTAAGAAAGTACTTTGGAATTTTGCTTTCTTATAGTTCCTGAGAAGAGGCGAAAGTTTCCTAGTACTTGCCTCTTGTAATCTAAAAACAACAGGGATTTTCTTTTCTGTACAGGCAGCTATGAAGTTATCAGGCAATAATTGTCCATCAGAAAGAAACTGGTCATCTTTTCCTTGATCAATCAGTATGTCCAGCTGAGAACCTGGATAGGACTTCACAAGATGGGTAGCATCATAAGCCTATAAAAAGAGGAGAAATACTGAAAAGTAACTTTAAAAATGCCCAGGAAGATATTCTTGAGAACACACTGTACTACAACCAAATAGAAATTTAAAGTCACTTAAATTCCAAGGCTAACTAAATTGGAAATACACTTTTAAGTTGGCTTGCCTAGTTTTATTTATAATGTCTTCAGAATTCTATTTTCCATTTACAGCCTCTTCCCTACTTTCAAGCAGTCCTGCATCAGTGATAAGAATTCTATACCTCAAGCATTCTTCATATATATAACAGCCTTTTTCTTCTAAATATTTAAGGTTCATAATCACCTCTCAATTAAAAAAAACTAATTTTTTTTGGTAAACCCCTCCACAAATTAACCATTTCTTCTAACTCCATTATCTTTTCTATTTCCAAATATTTTCTATTTCAAATAAAGCTTATTTTTTTGTCTCTTCTTTCTGCTTCTAATTCCAGACATAAATATGCTCAGTCATCTATTTTGATGTCTTTTGAACAGCACCAAACATCTATCTCCATGAGTGTTCAGGAAGACTTGATTTGAATAATCTGTATCATATTAACAACTCAAATTTACCTGGGGAGCTGCTACTAGTTACAATTTTATATTTCACAATGTACCTTTAAATACTCGATTATTCATATATATTCACTAACTACAACTTTATGCATCAATCAAGATCAAGATAAACAAAATGCAAACGATATCCCCTTCTAAAATATTATGCTTTTTTAAAGACTTGCTTTTTTCATCTTCAAAGAGTGGAAGGGGGACGACCTATACAGTCCAACTAGTCCTAAATCCTGTGACTTTGTAATTCTGCACGGCCTCCTTATTCCAACAATAAAGTAAACAACAGCCTAAACACAGAATAAAGAGATAGTAAAATGTACTGCTATTTGGAGGAAAATTATATAATTAGATTCTTTTATAGGTTACTTGTGCCCCTACTCTCCCCCCTTTCTCCCAGTCAGTTGGTTTTACTCAACTTTTCTATTAGACCATAAGCCCCCTGCAGATGGGAAAGAGTCAACCTTCAAGACACAAGATCTCAGTACTCCACGTAGACTGCATGTGGTAAGGATTGAAAACACTGATGTATGTGCATTGTCAGTTCTCCAAGTACCTAATAGTAATTATTTTCTGCATTTTTCCAATATAATAAATCTAACCCTAAACAATAGGACAAAAAAAGTTTTTCTTCACTATTTTCTACTTGTTAACATGCACATGATAATTAGATCATTTGCAAATTACTCAAAGTCTTGGTGGAGTTTGCAAATATTCTATTTCTGCATAAGAGTAAAATGAGTCAATAGAAAGGACCATTTAGTTTTCATTTTGAAGCATCTTCTCCTCTGCTTAATAAAGCAATCTTTTGCTGGTGATATTCACATAAATATACATTATACAATATTTTTCAAAAAACAGATGTAAAAATTTAAAAAAATTCTTTTTTAATCTTTAGATTTTTATGGAGTTTAAAATCCAAACCTGAGAGATGATGGATTTTGAAAGAGATACACAAAATAATTAAAAAGCTAGGCTTTGTGGTTCCTATTGTACAACAGAGCACACAGTTAATAAGTCTAAATTTAGTAATAATATATACTGTTTTTGGTAACGTTATCTTAGAAATAAACATATAAGTTAATCATTAGTAGGAAAAAAATGTAGCCCCAAGACATCTGCCATAGTTCAATACAGTTAGAAAATTGTGTTTTGTTGTTATTGTTAAATGTATACACTTTTGCTAATTACTTTTAGCTCTGGATCTTTCACTTGAAGAAGCTAGGAATATAATTTCTGTAGTGCAGTTTTTAAAGAAATGTAAAAACTTAAGAATGAGTATTAAGACAGCCATCTAGTACCTACCTTCCACTTATTTTGATCTGTTCCCAAATATCCACTAAAGGCTTTTTTGCCCCAAGGACAGAGCACTGGGTTGCAAATTGGAGCAAATGCTGACACAGACTTAAGAAACAAACAAAAAAATTAAAAAGAAGTTTTATTTTGCTAAATCAAATATAAACAGGTATTTGCAGCTTGCTTAAAAACTCAGAAGTTATCTGAAGCATGCTTATAAAGTCTGACTTGTCATGAAAACCCCTGTGAATGATTTTCCTTTTACTGTATTACAGGCTTGTACTGTGGGCCTCTTTATGATACTACACCTTTTGTGTGTTCTATTAAGAGAGCTAATAAATTACAGGTGCTAAAATAACATAAAGCAATACATTACATTTTTATTAAATAAGGTCAAATGGGAGTGTCTACTAATTTATCTGCTTAACATTAATGAGTAACAAACAGTTCATGCCTACCTTTGTGAACGTGGTATTATTTCTCTTAAATAGTGCCAAGAAAGCACTGAGCAAGGCCCTTAAATACAGCAGAATTTTTAATGAAATACAATTTTGTGTTCGGCACAATGTTGTTTTTCACTGGATAAAATGCAGAGATGGAATCTCTCAGCTTCAGACTTCTTACCAATGTATATGTTTGTTAATGTCTACTAGCTTTTTTGAGAAACAAAAATTCAACTAAATTGATTTTCTACTTCAAACACAACAAACTGATTGCCATATCTACAAAAATTGGAAAATAAGTGCTGCTCTAACCAGTGTAACATTCTATTCATTGTGGTAACTCCAACTTGGCTCATTTAAACAAAACAAAACAAAGATTTTAAAGCTAAAAAGTTGAAAAAAAATGAGTAGGAAGGCTAAGAGTGATTTTTAATCCAACTGCATTCCAATTTTCATCAGAGGTATTGAGAACAGAGAATTCTTCAGCTTGTACAAATCATGAAAATCTTCTACCTTAGAAAATCAAAGTCAACTTTACACAGATATTCCCAGTAAAAATATAAGTAAATGATACATACTGCCACAATAACATTAATGAAGAATAACTTTTCAAAAAAAAATGCCTAGACAACAATAGTTTGAAAAGAAGCAATGAAAACTGCTTTATAAAATTTCTAGCAGACCAACAAGAAACTATTATGATAGAATTCCTATAACTTCTGATTCTAGAGCATATACTGTGTGGTCAAATTTAATACTCCTCCCTCACAGCCCCTTGAAATTTCCAACACTAGGAAAGCTCAGTCTCAATACTAAAACAAAAATATCCTAATTTCAGTCTCTAAAGTTCCTAATATTATATTATCCAAAAGAAATATCTGTCACTAGAAGTTTAGGTAATCTTACTTTGTATTTTCCAGGATTCTTCAAAGCACAAATCAGAGCTCCATGTCCTCCCATGGAGTGGCCAAAAATAGACATCTTCTGAGGGTCCACTGGAAAACTGGTATTTATGAGTTGGGGAAGCTAGAGAGAATTTAATAGTGTGACAAAATATAAAAGACAAGTGTAGACTTTTTCAAAGTTATATATGATAACTAAATAATCGGTACTTCCAAACCACAGTCTTAAAATGGTTTGAACTAATAAAGATGAAAAAAAAAACCTCAATGACTATTAATATATCGCTGAAGAATATATGGTACATCATTATGTTTAGAAAGCAACTAAGATAATACAGAAAGAACATATAAAGTGTTCTAAACTTTGACCTAGTAATTTCACTTTATGGAATCTATTCTAAAAGAAAAGTCCTTAGAGGAAATACATTATACACAAAGATAATCAATCTAGTAAAATTTATTAAGGTAAAAGATAATATGTAAATACATTAATATCCTGTATTAGGAAAAAGTAAATTATGGAATATGACAGAATATTATGTAGTTAATGAAGTTATGCTACAAATAGAGTATTAGATAGTATTTATTTGATACAATTAAAAAAGAACAAGGAAACTAGAAATAAATTACACAAAGAAAATGAAGAAGCCCACAAACACATGGAGGCTTAATAACATGCTCCTAAATAATCAATGGATTAATGACCAAATAAAAACAGAGATAAAGCAATATATGGAAACAAATGACAACAATAATTCAACAACACAAAATCTGTGGGATGCAGCGAAGGTTGTGCTAAAAGGGAAATATATTGCAATACAGGCCTACCTCAGGGAAGAACAATCCCAAAATTAATGAAACTAGAAAAGGAAGAACAAATGAGGCCCAAAGTCAGTAGAAGGAGGGACATAACAAAGATCAAAGCAGAAATAAATAAAATTGAGAAGAATAAAACAATAGAATCAAGGAAAGCAGGAGGTGGTTCTTCAAGAAAATAAACAAAATAGATAAATCCCTAGCCAGACTTATTAAGAAAAAAAGAGAGGCTACACACATAAACAGAATCAGATGTGAGAAAGGAAAAATCACTATGGACACCATAGAAATACAAAGAAATATTAGAGAATACTATTAAAAATTATATGCTAAAAAACTGGATAACCTAGAAGAAATGGACAACTTTCCAGAAAAATACAAACTTCTAAAGCTGACCCAGGAAGAAACAGAAAATCATAATAGACCAATTACCAGCAAAGAAATTGAACTGGTAATCAAAAAACTACCCAAGAACAAAATCCTGGACCAGATGGTTTCACTGCCTAATTTTATCAAACATTTAGTGAAGAACTAATACCCATCCTCCTTACAGTTTTCCAAAAAGTAGAAGAGGAGGGAATACTCCCAAACTCATTCTACGAGGCCAACATCACTCTAATACCAAAGCAGGCAAAGACACGACAAAAAAAGAAAATTCTAGATCAATATTCCAGATGAACAAAGATGCAAAAATATCAACAAAATATTAGCAAACCAAATTCAAAAATACATCAAAAAGATCATCCATAATGATCAACTGGGATTCATCCCAGGGATGCAAGGATGGTACAACATTCGAAAATCCATCAACATCATCCATTAAATCAAAAAAAAGAAGGACAAAAACTATATGATCATCTCCACAGATGCTGAAAAGGCATCTGACAAAATTCAACATCCATTCATGATAAAAACTCTCAACAAAGTGGGTATAGAGGACAAGTACCTCAACATAATAAGGCCATATATGGCAAACCCATAGCCAACATTATACTTAACAGCGATAAGCTGAAAGCTTTTCCTTTAAGATTGGGAAGAAAACAAGGATGCCCACTCTCCTCACTTTTATTCAACATCGTTCTGGAGGTCCTCGCCATGACAATCAGACAACACAAAGAAATAAATGGCATCCAGACTGGCAAGGAAGAAGTCAAACTGTCCCTGTTTGCAGATGAAATGATATTGTACATAAAAAAAACCCTAAAGAATCCACTCCAAAACTACTAGATCTAATATCTGAATTCAGCAGAGTTGTGGGATACAAAATTAATACATAGAAATCTGTTGCATTCCAATACAGTAACAATGAACTAGCAGAAAGAGAAATCAGGAAAACAATTACATTCACAATTGCATTAAAAAGAATAAAATACCTAGGAATAAACCTAACCAAGGAAGTGAACAACCTATGCTCTGAAAACTACAAGACACTCATGAGAGACATTAAAGAAGATACCAATAAATAGAAACACATTCATGTTCATGGATACAAAGAATTAGTATTGTCAAAATGACCATCCTGCCTAAAGCAATCTACAGATCCAATGCAATCCCTATTAAAATACCTACAGCATTCTTCAATGAACTAGAGCAAATAATTCTAAAATTCATATGGAACGACAAAAGACCACGAATAGCCAAAGCAATCCTGAGAAGGAAGAATAAAGCAGGGGGAATTACGCTCCCTGACTTCAAGCTCTACTACAAGACAATTTGGTAATGGCGTAAGAAGAGACCCAAAGACCAGTGGAACAGAATAGAGAGCCCAGATATTAACCAAAGCATATATGGTAAATAAATATACAATAAAGGAGCCATGGATACACAATGGGGGAAATGACAGCCTCTTCAACAGTTGGTGTTGGCAAAACTGGGCAGCTACATGTAAGAGAATGAAACTGGATTACTGTCTAACCCCATACACAAAATTGAACTTGAAATGGATCAAAGACCTGAATGTAAGTCATGAAACCATAAAATTCTTAGAAAAAAAATATAGGCAAAAATCTCTTGGACATAAACATGAGCAACTTCCTCATGAACATATCTCCCCGGGCAAAGGAAATAAAACCAAAAATGAACAAGTGGGACTATATCAAACTAAAAAGCTTCTGTACAGCAAAGGACACCATCAGTAGAACAAAAAGACATCCTACAGTATGGGAGAATATATTCATAAATGACATATCCGATAAGGAGTTGGCATCCAAATTATATAAAGAGCTCACATACCTCAACAAACAAAAAGCAAATAAGCCAATTAAAAAATGGGCAGGGGATCTGAACAGACGCTTCTCAAAAGAAGAAATTCAGATGGCCAACAGACACATGAAAAGATGCTCCACATCGCTTGTCATCAGAGAAATGCAAATTAAAGCCACAATGAGATATCATCTCACACCAGTAAGGATGGCTACCATCCAAAAGACAAACAACAACAAATGTTGGCGTGGTTGTGGAGAAAGGGGAACCCTCCTACACTGCTGGTGGTAATGTAAATTAGTTCAACCATTATGGAAAGCAGTATGGAGGTTCCTCAAAATGCTCAAAATAGAAATACCATTTGACCAAGGAATTCCACTTTTAGGAATTTACCCTAAGAATGCAGCACTCCAGTTTGAAAAAGACAGATGCACCCCTATGTTTATTGCTGCACTATTTACAATAGCCAAGATATGGAAGCAACTTAAATGTCCATCAGTAGATGAATGGATAAAGAAGATGTGGTACATATACACAATGGAATATAACGCAGCCATAAGAAAAAAACAAATCCTACCATTCGCAACAACATGGATGGAGCTAGAGGGTATTATGCTCAATGAAATAAGCCAGGCGGAGAAAGACAAGTACCAAATGATTTCACTCATATGTGGAGTATAAGAACAAAAGAAAAACTGAAGTAACAAAACAGCAGCAGACTCACAGAACTCAAGAATGGACTAACAGTTACCAAAGGGAAAGGGACTGGGGAGGATTGGTGGGAAGGAAGGGGTAAGGGGGAAAAAGAGGCATTACAATTAGCACACATAATATAGCGGAGGGGGACATGGGAAAGGCAGTATACAGAGAAGACAAGGAATGACTATAACATCTTACTAGAGTGATGAACAGTGATTGCAATTCAGTACGTTGGGGGGACTTGAAAATAGAGGGAGTCTAGTAACCATAATGTTGTTCAAGTAATTGTACATTAACCATACCAGAAAAAAAAAAAAGAACAAGATAAAAAAGTTTTACAATTATACGTAAACTAGTGTGGAATACCCAAAAAAGTCTGGAATATACCAAAACATATTTGGTGCTTGGGGTGATAGAAGTATGGGCTATTAAAATTTTACATTATTGTTTCTGGTGTTTATGATGTGCATATTAATTAAAATCATACATTTACAAAAATGCATAAAATACACATAAATATTAACAGAAGCAGCGCTTTACCACTTATGTATCCTTTCTAACTTAGCCTTGGTTAATCATTACAAAGTATGTCTGAATGAACCAGCTACAGATAAATGAAGTTTTTACTTTTATACTTAATCACTATAAAAGATGCCTGAATGAACAAGCCACCAGAGAAATGAAAAATTTTCATATACTGTTTTCTTTGCATAACCTGGGTAAGTACACAGGTATCGATATAATTATTAAAATATTTAAAATTGTGCCTAGTATTAATTTTTGATGCTTAGTGTAAATATTTGATATTCTCTTAAATTATAGTAAATAGGATTACAGTAATAGTAAACATTGTAACTTCAGTAGATAATTAATAAATCTGTACCAAAGAGATTCAGCAATACCATATTCTGGTTTGAAATTCTCAGGAATGGGGGAAGGACTTAATGTCTAAAATCAAACATTTGGAAATCATCAATTTACAATGTAACATAAATTAAATTACCTCCTTCATTACATAAGAGTACATTCTGTAGTTAGTTTTCCACGGATCTTCAGTGGCATCCACATAAAACCCCGCACCAGTGCCAAAGTCCCAGCTTTCATCTTCGCCTTTAATATTGCAGCCACCTATTAAGAAAAAATCTTATGATTTCATCTACCCCATAATAATGGCCCACTTTTAAATGATTAGGAATTTTTAATATAATTTCATTAAAATGCAGACTGAGGGAAATGACCTCTTCATAATATTTTGTCTACTTATTCAGGAACACATTTTTCCATTTATTAAGGTCTTCATTTATGATCTTAAGCAAATTTTATACTTAGAAAAAATAAGTCTTCATATGTAAAAAGTTCATTCCTAGGCATGTTATATTTTTGATGCTCTTTTGAATTAATCTCTCACTACATTTCTATCAAGACATGTCTTGATTTTGTATATGGCCAGTGAAAGGAAATGCAGGACTTCCCAAAGCCAGCCATTTAGCTTCTAGATAGTTTTAGTGTCATTTAAACTCCGTTTTTTTTTTCCTGACAGTTCTAGTGTCACAATAACTCTCTGACAAATAATGTTCTCAAATATTTGATATTCTCATTCCTCTAAATATTCTTCTCACTTACATTAAAACTAATACTTGTTTAACTGTATGATCATTTGATGATGAACGATGAGAGAAGATATAATCACGTGACAAGACAGTTTGCCTATGGAACAGAAAAATTTCTCATGTTATTTTGACACTACTGCCAATATCACATATTAATCAAGTTGCTCAATCTGTTTTGAAGTGTCTTAATCTGTAAAATGGGAAGAGCAAAACTGTATCCTCTTCTAAAAGTGATGTCATGGGTAAAATTCAGTGAGGACATTTTTGAGTCATGTTGTCACTTGAAAGATTAATAGAGATAATAGCAAAAATATGAAATGAACTACACAGTTATATATTATTTCACTTATAATTCAGTCTTAAAGATTTAGACTTTCACCAAGGATCTCTTGAATAAGAACACTTACGGGGACTGGTATCTGGAGCAATGATAACAAGGCCATGTTCTGAGGCAGCTTGATGATAACCAGATTTTGATATAAAATTTTGTTCTGTGCAAGTTAAACCTAAAGACAAAAATATTGTTATCTCATGCTATACTATGAATGGTTTATAAGCTTTCATCCTTTTATAGTACAGGAAAACAAGCTCACTTGTATTATTAAAAACTTTTTATCCCTTTTAAGAAATAATTCTGAAAAAGACACTAAAGTACTTTTTCGTATAAAGTTTATAATAGCATTAATCTAAAAACTGTCTTAAATTAAATGCTCCCATAGCTCTCCTTTTAAAGTCACTCATGAAAGTTTCAATTACTGAAATCCTTAGAACCAGATATGTTTAGGAATTCAAAATTTTTCAAACTGTAGAACGACAATATGGTACATAAATGAGATAGGTACCCACCCCAGTGAGATGCTATCAAACATGTTAAGTAAATATGTTACTATTCCTACATCAAAATATAAATATTCAAAGTCATCTAATACAAATAACTTAATATTTTTTATATTAAGCAGTTCTCAGCAACAAAATCCAACTTAATCATCTTCATATTCCTTACTGATCTAAGAAGACAGTATATAATGGTCACCATATGCCTTCCTTAAATTGAATTTTAGGCCCAGCTTTTACAACCATTTCTGCCATTTTTCTTAGCTCTAGGATTTTCAATCATGTGATAGAAGGGATGATTTAATTATCTTATTATAGCAGCCTAATACTATGACAATGTGAGAATGGACAAGAATAAACTGGTAACAGATGCTTGATTTAAACACCACCTAACCAAACAGCCCTTTTCCAGTGGCTAATGCTACATACCCCACTACATCTGACAATTAGCAACATTAATGTTTACTGATACATATGATGCAATATGAATCACTTCAGAACACTCTGAGTTTCTATTTAGCCCCTAACAGCCAACATAGAGACTCATGAAATGGTTGACTAATAAAGATTTGTTAAATTAATAAATATAAGATACAAAATTACAAGTATGATTGGATAAAGTATTAAGGGAGTTTATGGCTAAATACACTGTTAGGACATACATACACTTTCACTAGTCACAGCAAGAGAACAAGGTCCTTGTTTGCCACCATGTTCCTTCCCAGTACATCTTCTTGAGATATTGGAGCCGTACCATGGTGGAGAACTGCCCCAAATACTGATAAAAGGCCAGAAATTTTGCTGACCTTAATACAAATGTGTTAAAAAAAAACCAGGATAATAGTGTAAAAAGCATAGGTTTGGATTTCAGACAGGATTTGGTTCTAAATGTCACTCAGCCACTTATCAGCTAACCAAAATTAGGCAAGGAACTTGAATATTCTGAGCCTCAGTTCTTTCATTTGAAATATGGTGATGATATTGCCTGTGTCTTCCTCATAAGGTGGCTGTGAGATTAAATGTTATAACACATGGAGTCTTGAATTGTGTCTGGGGCCACAGTACAACTTGGGAAATTTAAATCTGTTTAGAGAACAGAAAAGTCTGTCTTTTTTCTGGTTAGAACACAAATACCTTGATTAAGGTAGTGGAAAGTGAATTACAGCCTCAAAGAAATGAAGAAAATTCTACCAGTAGGATTACACTCAAGAATATGAAGATGGTTACTAATTAATATCTACTCAATAAGTATGATCAGTCATACTTATTTTATATGAAGAGCTGTTTTTTTTAACAGGTATATGTTATTGAGGTATAATTCAGATGTCATAAAATTCACCCATTTAAAACACAGTTCAATGACTGTTAATATATTTACAATTATGCAACCATCATTGCTATCTAATTTTAAAATCTTTTCATCACCTCAAAGAGTAACCCCACATCCATTAGCAGTCATCCCCATTTTCTACCAAACCCCTCCTCTAGGCCCTAGGCAACCACTAGTCTACTTTCTATCTTCATGTATTTGCCTATGCTGGGCATTTCATACAAATGGAATTTAACAATATGTGACCTCTTGTGAATGGCTTCTTTCACTTAGCATAATGCTTTATTTATCATTTTATTATTTTATGGATCTTTAAGTTCGTTTCTACTTTTCTGCTATTATAAATAATGTATAATGTAATATAAGAACATTTGTCTGCAAGTTTTCGTATGGATATGTTTTCAAATCTCTTGGGTATTCAGGTAAGAAGGGCTATTTTGATGGTTGCCCCATCTTTTAGAATCTCAGGTAGATGTTTTGATTAAAGTTAACTTATTAATTTTAGAAATATAACAATTGACATATCTTTCTGTTATTGTTTACCTTCAACTTACTAGGAATAAACCTCTTGAAATCCTTTTGTTATTATTTATCAAGTGTACTAATCATACAGTCTTACCTTTTTTAAAAAATCAAGCCTTAATTTCCAAGGTCTATCTTTAGCATCTAAGGCAACTGTCCTATTATGTGATATGAACAAATGAAAATTCTATTTTTCATACTCACAAAGCTCAGATGATATGTCTTGATCAGAAATTTAGGGCCTTACTATTATAGTGCCTATTACATAATACCTTGGTACTTCTAATCTGAATTATTATTCTTTTAACCAAAACCAAGACTTTAGTAGCTGTTATAAGAAACAAAATGAAAAAAAAAAAAAAAGAAAGAATATATTGTCAGACCATGAGTCAGAAAACTTGTTCATCTGTTATATTACAATTATGCAACCATCATTGCTATCTAATTTTAAAATCTTTTCATCACCTCAAAGAGTAACCCCACATCCATTAGCAGTCATCCCCATTTTCTACCAAACCCCTCCTCTAGGCCCTAGGCAACCACTAGTCTACTTTCTATCTTCATGTATTTGCCTATGCTGGGCATTTCATACAAATGGAATTTAACAATATGTGACCTCTTGTGAATGGCTTCTTTCACTTAGCATAATGCTTTATTTATCATTTTATTATTTTATGGATCTTTAAGTTCGTTTCTACTTTTCTGCTATTATAAATAATGTATAATGTAATATAAGAACATTTGTCTGCAAGTTTTCGTATGGATATGTTTTCAAATCTCTTGGGTATTCAGGTAAGAAGGGCTATTTTGATGGTTGCCCCATCTTTTAGAATCTCAGGTAGATGTTTTGATTAAAGTTAACTTATTAATTTTAGAAATATAACAATTGACATATCTTTCTGTTATTGTTTACCTTCAACTTACTAGGAATAAACCTCTTGAAATCCTTTTGTTATTATTTATCAAGTGTACTAATCATACAGTCTTACCTTTTTTAAAAAATCAAGCCTTAATTTCCAAGGTCTATCTTTAGCATCTAAGGCAACTGTCCTATTATGTGATATGAACAAATGAAAATTCTATTTTTCATACTCACAAAGCTCAGATGATATGTCTTGATCAGAAATTTAGGGCCTTACTATTATAGTGCCTATTACATAATACCTTGGTACTTCTAATCTGAATTATTATTCTTTTAACCAAAACCAAGACTTTAGTAGCTGTTATAAGAAAAAAAAAGAAAAAAAAAAAAAAAGACTGAATATATTGTCAGACCATGAGTCAGAAAACTTGTTCATCTGTTATGTGATCTTGGGTAATACATAATTTCTCCAGGCCTTTAATAGTTTCTTATTCCATGGATTACATGATTTTTAAGATCATCTTTGGCTATAGATGCTATGTTCCTAAACCAAACATAATTTTGTTGCTGTTGCTTTTGACAACACCCAGTGCTCTTCTAGCAAAATCAGTTTGCTTTTTTCAATCACAGAAATGAGATGCAGAGTTAAATTTAGATAGGCACTAATTTTTATCTTTTAAAATAAAATGTTTATTCTCAGTTTTAAAGACTGCTTTTTGGGATATATCCTTGATAAAGCACATATAAGAGAGGATTTATTAAATCAAAGTTGTAAGAAGCAATTTTAAGGAAACAAAAATAGCCTTCCTATAACATAATTTGGTTTCTGAGTCTCTCCTTGTAATGTCTGCTTCTAAAGATGAAGTGCCAATGTCTTGTGAAAGAAAAGTGAGCACAGGGGTTCAAAACTTTTGGTGGCAAAACCTAGTCTCTTACAGTTCATTCTATAGTCTTTAAATTCACCACAGACTACAAAAAACATCAGTGGTCTTTTGTGATTTTCCAGATCGTTGCCAGGGAAGAGAGATGAAATCCAATTAAAATATTCTAGGAAGAAAGACTATAAGAAGCTACTGATCTGTGGTTTCTATTTAGTGTATCATGGGTGTTCTGATTTTATCTAATAATATTGTTCTATTTGAGTGGTAAAGTCTCTACAAATTCCAGAAATTTTTATGTAGGTACAAACTATATAAATAACTTTTTTAAGTTCTTGACACTGAGTTCAGAACTTTACATTCTCTACTAAATTATGTAATTTGGTAAGCCTAAAATTATTCTCAACATGAAATAAGAGCAGACAATGACAGGCTCCTAAAGTCTTTTATAAATGACACAGAAAGCACACCAATAAACTCAAGATAAAAGAGTAAGATAACCCAGTTAAAAAGAAAAAGAAACTCCTTTATAAAACTCAAATGATTAACACTTACCAGACAGCCAATACAGTGCAGGACATTTTCCAGTTTCTGCCTTTGGTGGTAAGTAGATAGCAAATTTCATCTTGCAGTTCAGTTCAATACTGTGATTTTAACAGCCACAAAAAAAAAAAAAAAATGAATGCCCCTCATTAGTCATGACAGAAACATAAATTAAGCGATTTAATGTCCAAATGAAGTGATTCTACCAACATTTAAGGAATATACCTTAGCCCTTAAAGAAAGAATGGGGTCAATTCAGCATATGATCTATTAACCAGCCTCAGCCTGAGCTGTGCATAGCACAGAGTGATTTGGGGCAGAATATATTAAAATAATAAATGTAATATCCTCAATGTAGGACCAATATTATTAAAAGAAAAGTTTCTGTTTCTGAAGAGATATATAAGATAACAAATCGATTTTTGTAATAAATGTATTCTAAAGATCTTAAATTACATGTTTTGTTCATGGGCACTGAAACGTATCACATCCCTAATTAGGAGTTTATCACTAATATTTCATATAGTCACAAATATCACAACTAGATAATTTTGATAAAAACTGTTTTTCCATGTAAACAGTAATCTGTGCAACAATGACCTTCCAAGGGCTTTATTTAAAGAACCAAATAGGTAGAAGCACAATGAGAGATAACTAAAACTGCATTTTCTTAGTAGTTACCTGTCATGTTCGAAAACTTTCTGCAATCCCCCAAAACACTTGTTGCTGGAAATCTGTTTCAATGCCATTCTTCCCCTAGTAGTGAAGATTAACCTCATTAATTTCTAAAGAATTAGTGCCTGAAAAATTAGAAACTAATTAGAAAAACTTTCTCAGATAAATTATCCAAACATGTAACTTTTACCTCTGGAATACTTTTTTACATGCTTATTTTTTCTGATAAATAATATTAAAAAATAAATAACTTTTATACACCACTTGTTACTCACTTTAGAAAATTTTTGTACTTGGTAAGTCATTAATTTAAAAGTTTCTTTTGTGCACTGCCCTGTTATTTTTAGAAAGAACAAAAGAATGCAATATAAATAAGTTGTTACTAATTGATTACTTTAGCTTGGAAGATTAAAAACTGTTAACAGTTGACCTGTCAACTGAAACAAAGGAGTCAAGGAATTGGTATGACTGACTATGGTTGATTTTAAAATAGGAGGAAAATAGTGTAACAGAAAACATTTATGGAATACTGAGAGTACACTATACACTTTTCTATATGCTAAAGCAAATCATACCACTTATCCTATGAGAGTTTTTCAGAGAGAGTGATACACAACTTTTATATCAACATTTTTCCTTTTAAAATGAATCAACAGGTAAAAACATAAGGCTATTCTAAGTGAATTAGAAGTATGGCTTATCACTGGAAATTTCTGAAGTTTGATAATTCTTTTTCTCCAACAAATCTTTTACATTTTAGCAGACAAATGTAAATGTTAACATACCACACATTAATTTTTAATGATAAGTACAAAAAGGTTGGGAAACCATCTTTATCATAAGTGCCTGTTGAACAATGAGGAACGGGACTGATTCTGATTTGTATTTTTCAAGGAAGAGTTCCTTTTCCCTCCTTACTATGAATCAGTAAACCATATACACTAAATAAAATATCCTCAGATACCAGGAACAGTTATTACCACTCTGGTGTTCTCAGTGAAATGTTCTACGTATGTTCATCAGTTGTAGTGTTAGGGATACTCTCTAAAAATATAATCTTCAAAACCTAATACTGGAAATGTCTTTGCAAAACTCTAAATAAGATTAATTTCAATCCTACATTTTATTACTCTCAGTAAATCCAAATACTTAGCTCTGCACTGAAAAGTTCATTTGAACCATAAAGGCTAACATCATAATCATAGTGCCTACTCTTTGCTGCTATGCTCTGCTGCCTCCCTAGAGGGTCCTTAAATTCTTCTTTTCTAAGACACTCTAAGACTGACTAATTTTATAGGATTAGAATTACAATTACACACAGAAAACATCACCTTCTATTCACAGGTTTATGCTTTTACTCTATAGAGGATCAATTCTTAAACAACAAACTGTTTACAAATGTTATTAATTATTGAATATTAACTCCTTGTTCATGATCCTATCTTAAACAGTGAACTAAGATAGATGTATAATTTTAACATGTATACACACAAGCCCAAGAAATAAACTGTACTTGCTGAATTATTCTACAAGGAATTCCTGTATTCTTAAACCTAGCAGGCACTGTGTCTGCTTTCCCAAAACATGGCACACTAGCATAAATCTGGTACATAAGAGGTACCTAATAATTATTTGTTGAGTTAATAATTTACTTTTAAAATTTCTACCAATTATGTGAAAGTTTAAAAGTTACCTAATCCTTTACCTGTTGTTTTATACTTTGCTACTCCTCTATTTTAGTAAACCACAACAAATCTACTTCCTCTGCTTTCTGAATGTTCCTTAATTAAAAATCAAAATACTTTCCACTGGGCTAGAGAAAACCCAGTTAAATAATGTTTTTCATACTGGCAGAATGAACTAAAGAAATAAAATAAAAGTTTTTAAAGTTTTTTCCCCCCCTAACCACACATTTAGAAACTACCTTCACTTATAAATGAAGAAAAAGTTAGGCTCAATAAAAAAATATGACATAAGCTAAGAACTAGATATATACAAGAAATAGGATGTACTAGGTGATTACATTTTTCACTAAATTTTTTTCTGTGTGAAAAATTACATATTTAGACCAAATTATTACATTTTTCATTCAACTTTCAAAGTTAAACATAATAAAACTTAGATTTACATGTCTAAGTACTACTTGTTTTCTTGTCAGCACCAAAGGGTAGACGATCTTGAAAAAATAAAAAGACAGAATGGTTTATAAACAGGACATACTTTACCACAAAGATTATACAGACATGTACAGTACAATACACATTCTCAACAGAGACAATTTCCTCTCTTGAAATGGGTGACTGTCTACCCTGGATATGGCAGCATGGAGAATGCAGCTGATGGAAGAGCACCTGCTTCACCTCTGCTATTAATCTAATTACCTATTTTGCCACAAGACCTGTTGTTTGGTCAAAAACTTTTGCTGAAATAAGATTCCTATGAAGAAAGTCGTTTTTTTGTTTTGTTTTGTTTTTTAAATAGATGTTTAAAAAAGGGTATTAAAGTGTGACTTGGAACTATGAGTTGTAGTCAGCTCCTGAAGATGAAGAAAACAGGAATGGGGACTAGAAAAGTAAACAATGATAAAACGCCAAGCCCTGTCTGGCTAAGAGTTGTAGATAACTTGTAATGCAGGGAGGAAGGACGGAAGAGAAGAGAACTTGAAGACTGCTGGGTTGACTGACTAGAAAGGATGGACTGGTGAGACAATTGCTTGGGTTTATGAATGGTGCTAGAGACTGATATACAGTGATAAACAGAGACATAGTACATAATAAGCATCACTTGTCTGGATTTTGATTTAGGTCTGGAACAAATTTTGTGGGAGAAAAGGGAGTGAAAGAGTAGGTTAGAATAACAAAAACAAAACAACCCTCCCTCTCAAAAAAAAAACTAAAACAAAAAATTTCATACTGCTAGTGGCAATTACACAATTTTCCTTGAAAGTCATGGAAATTAGTATCAATAGTTTTCACAGAATAAAGTTTTTCTTAAGTGTATTGCCAAGTCAATCAGATTATTATTAAATTTCTTTATTAAAGAGAAAGATATCTTTATTCACAAAAAACCCATTCCCCCAATCAGCCAAATTGTTCAATCTTACTTTTCTTCACTGTATTTACTGAAGCTAAATGTCATCCACTTCCAGAAATCTGTGCTTTGTATTTTTAACCTTCTTTCCTTCATCTGGTGAGCATCAAAAGGCCTTTATATATATCTGTTTTGTTTCCATTCTCTCAGACTTCTTGGTTTGACTCATTTCTTAATTTTCAGTGTGTCCCACTCCACAATCAACACAGGCTCTTACAATTTCCCCAACATCACCTATCTTGACTGCGGCCCTGCGATTAAAACTTGGCCTTGGACTTTGTTTCCTTCTTGTATGTCCCACTAAAATTAATCATGCCTGGAAGCCTAGGGCTTTAATCTATTTAACTCACTGCTCAGTGGATACCTACACACATCACATCTTCAGGCTTAACATGGTCTACATGCAATTGCAGCAATTTAAATTTATTATTTATTGCTAATCCCACTCAGCTGTCAGGCTAGTAGCTGAAAACAAGCAAATCACAGAAATGGAAGACAATGTAATTAATATTTCTTCAAGCTTGATGCCATTAAAACTTCGTAAAATTGGAACTATGAAGAATTGACAGAAAAATAAATAAGGATGAATAAACTCTATATATCCTTCCCTTATATTTTAACAGTATACTAAGTATAGTTTTTTTTCCTTCAAAAAACTCATATGGCTAGCCCATATATGAGGTTTTAATCCACTCTGGGGAAAAAAATACAGCATCCATGAACTCCAAACACCTTAACTTGGTTCTCAAAATTGTCTTCAATGACCTCATATTTTTCTGGACTCACTTTATTATCTTAATACAGTCAAACTCAGTTATGTAGAATTCTAGAATTGCTTGGATGTTTCTACTGGGTGGGTTTACTCAATGCCATGGTGTAATAGTTTTGGACCAGGTTCTGGATACAGACTTCAAATTCTGACATCGTCATGCACTATTACATGCCTTTGAACAACCTGTTATATTTGTGGCTCACTTGCCCATCTGTAAAATGGGGATATAATACAATCAATAGGGCTGTTCCTGAGAGTAAATGAGTTAATTCACACATTGCTTAGAGCACCGCTGTCTATGACAGGCGCACAAATGTTGGCTGTTTTTCCCTCAACTTCGAATGCCCTCCTTCAAGGTCTGCTCAACTGCCACTTCCTTGACGACCCCATCAAAAGTGATCTCCACCTACGGGCCACTACACAACTCGGATGGAGTATTTACAACACGAACAGGCTTCCAAAGCCCTTGCAACGGCTTCAGGAGATGCAGGTTCCCCGGTCGCCGGCCTCTGAACCAAGCGCCTGACGGGGTTACCAAGGCTTTGGTAATTCTCGTCAGTACATTGGGCGCACATCTACTTTACGCGGTGGTGGTCTCTGCGCGGGAACGTCTATACACTGGAACGTGCTATACCCACGGAGCGGGCTTCTGAGAAACGGGCAGCTTCCCGGGGAGACGGCAGGCCCGAGCGCCAGGGCTATTCTTCTAAGCTCAGTAAAGGAAAGGAATGTGGGGGAGGGGGGGGGGTCGCTGAGCCTCGGAACAAGGTCCGCGCCGCAGCCCGCAGCCTCCGGCCGGCTCGGTCGCGTTCGGAGCCTGGGGCCGCGGTCTCCGCGCTCTCGCCTGCGGGCCTCGACCCCAGCCCCGGCGTCCGCGCCGATGGTGTCCTGCGGGGTGGCGCGTGCACCCCCAGAACCAGGCGGGCCCAGGACAAGCGGGATTCTGCCCTGGCCGTCTTACCTCCAGCGGCTTCGGAGAAGGGAGTTGTGGGCCCGGAAAGGCGGGACCTCAACATGGCCGCCGGAGGCACCGCCTCAGGGCCCGCCCCCGCAGGGCCCACCCCCCAGGACCCGCCCCCGCAGGGCCCTACCGCCCTACCCCCCATGGTCTCTCCGCCTCGGCCCCGCCCTGCCGCGCCGCGACCCCAGCGGCTACGTCCGCCTCGTCCCCGGCTCCTTCTTCACCGCCCAGTGTTCCGCGGTCCCAGCGTGGTTGGCTCCTTCTTTTCCTGGCCCGGCTGTGGGATCCCCCAGGACCGGCACCCGCCAGCCCAACGCCCAGGTTCCCTGCAGAGATTGCAGGAGAAGGCTGAGCCTGATAGAAACCTGAGGTCTGCTCCCGCTTAATTCGTGGAAAGGGTTTCCAAGTAAGGCTTCGAAGTTATTTAGAAACCAGGACCAAATGCCAAGGCTCCTCCCTACTCGGTCGGCCCAGTCATTCCAGTTCACCTGCTTGGTAGGCGGAGTTTAACACCTGGGCCAGACTCACAGCGGGACTTCTACCAAAGTCCTTTTTTAAAATCTTCTCTCGATATGGTTGATGACTTACAACAAATTTTCCCTTGAATTTTTGACTGAACTGATTGTGAGTGTACTTTGCCCATTGAGAAAATTAATTTGATTACAAAAAGCTTCTATTTTGTTTTTAATCAACAGCTATATTGACAGACTGTGACATGATCTGAAAGGCAGGGCTAGTTGTCTTGGAGTTCAACCTGTGCAGCAGAGCAGGATCCCTGTATCAGAAGGACCCTGCACTTGGTATAACCCTCTGCTTGGCTTAATTCTTTTCTGTGCCACAATGTTAATTTTTTCACAAGGGGCCCAGTATTTTCCTTTTGCACTGGGCCCTACAAATTATGTGACTGATCCTGCTGAAAGGACTACTAAATGAAATGACCTCTGGGAGCTGACATGATGAATATGGATGCCCTGTCGTGTGGCCCATGATAACCTTGGACTGAACTGACCTGTGGACTGAACCTGTGGACCTGTGGGTCAAGAGACAGCCTGAAGATAGTGTTTAACTAATTAGGTTATATGTTTATTCTGAGAAAGCATTGCAGTGAAAAACTTTTTACTTTTTGCTGCTTTTAAATAAATATAAATCACCGAAGAGGGAATTTTCTTCCAATTTAAGTTTCACAACTAAAACAGAATACCTGGGTTTGCAAGTTATTTAGAACTGATAGGAAATATTTGAAATAGGTTAAAGGGTGTTTATTTAATGAAATGATTGCTGTGGGGTGTAGACTAGCCTAAGAACTGTGAGCATGAAGTCTTTTATGAAAACATTCTTGTGTTAATACAGTATGATAATAAACAGAACTAAAATTCTTCTACTCAGCATAAATTATAATAGAGCCAATAATTTTTTTAAACCAGGTAACAGTGTTCTTATTTGTAAATACAGAGTTGATACTGTCTTCATTTCATAGCTAAGAGGGATACTACCTACCAGTGTAGATTTATAGTCTCCCAGATCTTCAGTATTTCTCCTATTCTCTTTAGAGCCAATAAATTTATGTTTCTTCTGTGTTATGTATATAATTATATATATTACATATATAAATATATATACATTATATATTATATATATAAGAAAAGTAAGGTGAAATTATAAATTAAGGTTTATATTTCTAATAATGAAACTAATAATAAAAATGGATGAATGTTATCTAAATAAAGAAATAGCTCCCCAAATTATCTGTAAATGTGTGGCTGAGAAGATTTAGGAACTCTCTGTTTAAACTAAAATAAGTAGGATGCATCTTAGGGAGGCAATAAAGAGATGTAATGAAAGTGAGAAAAACTCAACTCTGCTTAAGGCCTGTGGGAAAGGAGATTGCTTCAGAGAGCCCCAAAAAGAGGCCATACCTGAAGAATGAAATAACCTATTGGCCATCAGCACTGTGCTGCTTGAGAAATGTTCTGGGGCATTTCCGTGGACAATTAGGGTTCCTCAACCTTGGCACTACTGACATTCAGGGCCCAGTAATTCCTTGTGGGGAGTCATACTGAGCACAGATAGGATGCTCACCAGCATCCCTGCTCTCTACCTGCTAAATGCCAGGAGCACGCCCTGCCCTCCCCGAATCCAAACTGTGACCTCCACTGGGGTGGGAGGGGTAGGAAGTGCCCCATTTGAGAACCACTGGCCTGGATCAGATTTTTCAAAACTCTATTCTGGTTATATTCTTACTTAGTGACATTCCAAAAAAAAAAGAACAGCCTCCGTTGTTATTTAATAAATCAGAACTTAGATAACTAATTACATTAGTGTCTGGAGAATGTAATTGGGGTGATTCATTCTCTATGAGACTGGGCACATCTGAATGTGATGTTTGCCTCATAAAGCTGAGTTGCTGAATGTGTACCCAAGGACTATATTTTGGACCATGTGACTTAACCAAGTACTGCAAATTTATACCCCTATCATAGTATCGCATCTAGATTTTGTCTCAGTTCTAACTGCAGAGTACAGTAGAATGAGTATAGACAAACCTTAGCAAAGATTCTCTTAAGTTTCATGCTAACATGTCTACATTTCACATTGTTTTTTATTTACATTTTATTTCCTGATGTTTTTAACTTCCATAAATCCTAAGGCCCATATTTCTTTTCCATCACCCATCCACAGTATCTGTTGTTCTTTATTTGTCTCAAAAAGATTAAGAGTGACATACAGATGCCCAAAAGGTACATGAAAAGGTGCTCAACATCACTGATCACCAGAGAAATGCAATCAACACCACAGTGAGATTCACCTCACACCATCAGAATAGCTAATATCCATAAGACAAGAAGTAACAAGGGTTGGTGAGGACATGTAGAAAAGGGATCCCTTGTACACTGTTGGTGGAAATGTAAATTGGTGCAGTCATCATGAGAAGCAGTATGGAGGTTCTGCTAAAATTAAAAACAGAACCAGCCTATGATCTAGTAATTCCACTTCTGGGTATTTAACTGAAGGAAATCAAAATATTAACTCAAAAATACATGCACCCCCATAGTCGTTATAGCATTATTCACAATAGTCAAGGCATGGAAACAACTAAGTGCTCATCCAGGCTAAATGGCTCAAGAAAATGTCACACACACACACACACACACACACACACACACACACACACACACACACACACAGGAATATTAATCAGAGAGAAAGAAGGAAATTTTGTCATCTGTGACAATATGGATGGACTTTGGAGGCATTATACACAGATTGGTTGGTTCCAGAGTGGGTGATGGGGTGATGAGCAAATGGGTGAAAGTCATCCTTCATAAAATGAGTTCTGGGATGCTGTTCAAGATGGTGATGGAGGAAGATCCTGAATCACCTCCTTCCACAGACATACTGAATCTACAACTACACATGAAACAAGACCTGCTTTCCTCTGAAAAGACCGGAGAGAAGCAGCTGAGTAACTCCTTTACATCAGCAGAGGAAGCACGTGGAAACAGGCAGGAAAGGCTGAGGCACAATTTAGCCAACCACACCGCACCAGCAACAGACAACGCTTAATCAGGGGAGATCTTACAAATCTGGAGTTGCACCTGGAGGAGCAGAGTTTCTACCCCACATCAGACACCCCCAAATTTTAAGACCTGCAAAAACATCTGCCTTTGAAAACCAGCAGGGCTCAGACCAGGGAGACCCAAAGGGCTATAGTAGGAACTGAGGAACGACCCTTAAGGTTGATAAGTCCGTGCAGAACAGCATTTGTAAAGCACCCGGACTTTCCTGGAGATTCACTTTCTAATCTTAAAGCATTGTTGGGAGGGGCAGGGGGCCTGTTGCGATACTCTCTGGGAACAGGGCTGCTGGTAGGTGCCATTGACCACTTTTTCTCTTTTTTTAAATCCAACTTATTTTGCCTTGGTGGGCACCATCTTCTGGCTGTCCTGCTACCATGGTCCATAGCGTCAGTAGCTCCCACAGGGGAGCTTTTACACATCTCCAGCGTCCCAGTTTGCAGCTACAGCCCAGGGGATGTTCCTTGGTGGCCTGGCTCTGGAGGCCAGAGCACCAGACCACACCCGCAGGATACCGCGCTGATAATAGACTGAAATGCGCCCCCAGTCTTTCTGAGAGGTCTGTGTGCTTGTCCTGGAGCTATGGCCTTTATTTCCAATCTCATCTCTTTCTAAAGATCTCAAAACCTCCAAATTAGAACCATCTTTACCTTGCCAGTCTTTGGTTTTCAAACCATCATGAAATAAAAGTATTTATTCCTATTTTCATGATTTTATGATGTCAATTAGATTCATTGCAATTTTGAATAAATTTTAATTATATTATTATTCTATATTATTAATAAAAATATATTTGAAAAGAACACTGAGAAAATACAGAACGGTGCAAAAAGAAAAGTAAATCATCAATAATCTTAACTATTTGAGAATTTAATTTTTCTTATAGGTCATCCACTCCTTTAAAGTTTGAAAACATTTTGCCTGCAATACTTTTTTGTGCCTGAGAGTTTTTTGGAAGCAGCAGTGAAATATTTTTCACTTTGTAACACGAATAGATTTTTAAATTCCTTTTTAAATGTTCGACACTTTGTTGTTTTCCATAAAGGTTTTATCCATATTTTATATATTTTGCAGCATTTTCTTTAAAAAAATGTCTCCGTGCCTGTGGTTATGGCACTTTCCCCCATGATAGTGCTGAGTATTTGTGTTTTCTCTTGTTTGCTTAATTCTTTCATTCAGATATGAATCTTTTTAGTTGGCCTTTTCAAAGAACAATTCTTAGATTTACATATTAATTTTTTAACTGTAAATTTCTATTTCTATATGAAGAATTGAGTTACCTGTTTTGAACATTTTTACTGCTTTTGAAATATACTGCCAAATTGCTTTCTAGAAAGCTCATAAGACTGAAATGTGGTGTTTATTTCTTCCTTTCACAAATTGAGTCATAATTTTCAATTATACCTCAATAAAATTGGGAAAAAATGAAAATAAAAACTAACCTAGGGTCATATTATATACAGTGTTGTAAAACTACTCCATCTTTTACATTTTAA